AGTTGTTGCTCGACCGCCCATTTACGCAACAATATGCATTACGTCTATCGAAGGTCAGATACGACAATTAGATTCCTAACTATGCGTGTATTCCGAGCCTTGCGAGTTTTGCTCTGCTCGTGTCATTCCCCGGTTTACGATTATGTTACGTGATTGTTTCGCAATTGCGACACTTGACCAAGCATCGAGGACCCAAGCAAAACAGTTTGTAGGCATAATTTTCGAAATTAAGCCGAATGATCTGAATGAGGGGAATAATTAATTAACTTTCATGGTGAAAAGATATTAATAGTGAGAATTAATTGAAAAAAGGATTCAATCCTGCTACGAATTTTTTTTCTTTTATTTGGGAAAAATCTTTAAAATGTAGAAGATTACTATGAAATTGATTATTTTAGGAAATAGAATGTTGAAGATGACTATGAAGTTGATTGTTTTAGGAAATAAAATGTTGAAGATGACTATGAAGTTGATTGTTTTAGGAAATAAAATGTTGAAGATGACTATGAAATTGATTATTTTAGGAAATAAAATGTTGAAGATGACTATGAAATTGANTTATTTTAGGAAATAAAATGTACAATATTTAGAGAAATTATTTTAGAAAATAAAATGTACAATATTTAGAGAGATTATTTTAGAAAATAAAATGTACAATATTTAGAGAGGATGTGTTTTGGCGCAAAATTGATATTCGTTCAAAGGACACCAGAAAGATACAAATGAGTCAGACACAAAATGCAGTATGATCAGAAAAATGTAAAGAGTTAAAAAAGGTTAATTGACGCAATATTTCTCTTCAACAATCTTTTCCAACTGATTTACATTATGGAATTCTGTTTTCTAGCGAAAGAAAATTCCGAGGATTTGCATAGTACTTGGCTATTTCTTTCACCTGGATTTTAGGAAATTTTAAAGAGTAACTTGTAACGTTGGCGATAAATTGTTGCTTGGTCCTTAATGGGTTAACATATGTAACGAATATATATATAGTTGTGATCCCCGTGCGCCTTTAACCCTTTATATCCTGAGGGTATTTACTTTAGCATCGCTTCATATAAACGCTTGTACATGCGCTTGATTGTGACAACAATTGCTCACGGTGTTCAAAAAAAAAAAAAAAAAAAAAACGAAAAATGAAAAATTTATGAAACGCTGAACAATGGAAACGTTTATACGTTCTTGCTTTTTGTAGTACTATGTTTCAGTTTTCTTTTTTTGGTTTGCCACCTTGAACACAGTATAGTAGAGAATTTATCATAGAGAACGTTTGCCAAACGTTTATTTGTGCATTTATAGAAAATTGCAGACAATACACGTAATGTGAAAAGATACACACACATGAAATATCCAAATATCCAATAATGTTTCCCATAACTTTTATTATGTAAAATAATATTTCCCATGGAGGTTCTATATTTTCAATTATATTTCCAGAAATACGAAATTGCATAGAAGTCTACTGAATTTTTATTTTTGTTGAACACCTTAATATTCGAATGTTATAATATCAGAATAGAATAAAAGATTATAATAGCTAGTAGATAGTCTATTCTGGTGATCAGGAGACATTCGAGAAATAGGAATTCACACAAGGAAGGCTTTACATTACATTATTAGAAAATTTCTTTTTCTATTCTTTATAATATGTTTATAATATGTTGGAAATCATCAACATCAGAAATCATCATCAAATTTAACAAAAATGTTTGAATTTAATTTCAGACATAAAGGGTTAAAAGAATCGACAATTTCCCAATGTTGCTTCATGTTACCCATTCAGACAGAGAATAGTAAAAATTCTATTCAAACAAATATTGTTCATGCATGAACCAAACGTTATGCATTGCGAAAATTAAAAACTATGTTTGAAGAGAATATGAAAAAGTTTTATTATTAGTATGCTCAAACGTATTGTAAAACATATCATAGAATGTAAATTCCTTTTGTTTGCTAAACCGAGTGTAAGATTGAAGTATAAAAGTTCAAGAATCATAACAGACTTAAAGAAAGAAAATAGATTTTTGTTTGAAATGCATAAATGTGACGAAGGTTCAACCCTGGATAATCAAGTTATCTAATTATTACGTTACGTTAATAAGTATTCGTAAAAATAACGACGTCGATTGAAACTATGAATACAATTGAATTATTGTTCAACGAGCAAAATAATATTATATTATCTTATTTTTAAAAAATGAAATTTAAAAAGTTATATTTGGAGCAAATGATTAAATTAAAATTAATTATTAATATAATGTTTAACAAAATTGAATTAAATTACTTGATATTGAATTTTACATTTGGAACAAATGTTTATACTACATTACGTGATTTAAATATTCCGATTATTATTACGAGAGTTATCTAGGGTTAAGAATGCGTCTTTAAGATATAGAATTATTTTCAAAATTTCAGTCAAACAGATAGATGTTTTCAATATTGTAATTGTTATACAAAATATTGCAAGGTAAGCCATGTGACTTATTGAAATAGTATCGTTGTGTTGTAAATGACCACTGTAATTTATATTATATTAATCAAATGTGGAATACTTATTTTTATTTTGTATTTTATATTGATTGAGATTAGTGATAAAATTAAATTAGATTGGAAAATCAACATTGAAAATTCTAACAAATCACTTAGTAATATTGACTATTTTGTGTAATAAAATTTTAATTGCAACTGAAAATGTTTAGCACTAGAACTATCAAAGTGATCAAAATGACCAATTCATAATTTTTTGTAGAAACTTTACGGTCTATAAAATTTTGTTTATAACGAGACTATTTAGAGATTTGAATGATTTCTCAGAAAGCATTATACTTAAAGCTTGCGTTTTTTAATTTTTCTATTTCAATTGCTAATATTAATGCTAAAATTTCAAAAAAGCACTTTGCATTTTCCTTGAATGTGAATTGCGGATTTCTATGCATTTTAAAAATTTTTATTAATGTACATAACTGAAGAAATAGAACCTGAATAGAAATTTACTTTATCTATTGTATAATAAGCACTCGACTTCAGATATTTTATCTACTTTTGCATGTTAGATGCATTGCGTGCTTGTTGCATAAATAAAAGTTCGCAATTTAATAAGCACTTGTAGATTAAATTAACATTAAATGTTCTTTGTTCGAACAGAATAATTTCGTTACTATCATATCAAAATCCGTGTGACATTATTTTATAATGCACCACGCAATAAGCCCCATTTTTTTTTTTTTTACATTTACATATCAGATTGTCACACCATTAGCCTTGTCACGAAATACATTCGCAATTCGAGTTTGATTCATTTTTTATTAATTGTATTGCTTATTTCTTTCGGGGTTGTATGACCGAGCGAAATTATTTTTAAATATTTTTAAATATTCATGAAATGTTTGCGAAAATTCTAAACGCTTTGCGATCACAAACGAAACGTCTTGAGAGCTCTTTTGTTTTTTTATTAAAACTAGAGTTCTAATTTGTAAGATCAGGTTACAGAATTTCATAGCGGATATTTAAAAAAATATGTTATTAAATAGAGGATGATTCTGATATGAAAAAATTAATCAGAGAAAAAGAAGAAAATTTGTTCATTTAGGATTTCGTTTATAAGAAAATCAAGTTTGGAGATTTATTTAATTAAATCAAATTATATTTAATAATTATTAATAATTATATTTAAAATTAATTTAGTTATTAACTTTGGATTGATTAGGAATAAATAATAAATAGGAAGTTATAAAACAAGTTAAAAGTATCGAAAATTTTCCATTTTACGAATATTTTCATTCTGTACTATAATTTCATTTGTAATTTGCCTAAAACTTTTTTAAAACTGTTTCTATTATTCATTATGAAAAGTATCTAGCACCGTAATGTTATATGTTACTAATATTGCGAATGTATTTGCAAAAAGATATTTGAAGAAAACGCAAAACTTTGTACTCTTTGCTTTGAAATTGTTACAACAATTATGCGCGTACAATTGGATATTTAAATATTGACGCGAATAAAAGCATTTGGAAATGTTGCATAATACTCGTTTAAATGATTAATTTCCAACTATAGATAAAAACATTCATATCGTTTTGATTAAATGGAATTTTGATTGTAGAGATTTTTGATGTAGTGCTCGAATCGAGGAAATTATTTAATCTTTGTCTGGCGAATGTTGGATCCATTGAGACCGATCGAAAAACAAAAGTCGATAAGATGAAGACGAATGTTTCAAACGTATTTGTAACAATTAGTTATTTGTTTAAACTTGTATTTTACGCGTAAATAAAATAAACCAATGTTATATAGTTATGATAAAAGATATGTGATAATAATAATAATATACGTTTGTGATAAAAGATACATAATAATATGATATTGTGATAATAAATATAAAAATATTACCATAATATAAATACCATAAGTGCATTCGTTTCTTTCTCCAATTGTTATATAGAATATTATATAATATCACATAATAATAGAATTATATTAAAATTACATAATAATAGAAAATAAGAATCCATTGAGAAAAAATAATACTTAAGGGGTGGCAACTTTCTTTTTTAATCTAAACATAAATAATAAAATATAATTACAAAAAACACGACCAACACAAAATAAATGTAAAATAAAACAATTTCTTTAAATTACGATTTTCCAAAAAAAATTTATTCAACGTTGAGATCAATTTGGACATGCAACTTCCTGCATAATTTTTCTTAATCGCAACTTCTTATAAATCTGAATGTATCCAGCATTCGCCCGTTCGAGGAATTTATAAATTTGTTTTCCTTAAAATTAAAGAAACTGATTAGAAATCATCGTTACCTTTCACAACGTGTTCTAAGGTCACAAGAAACTAGCTGTGAAATTTTAAAGAAAAGCGAAAATGAAGCAAAGTATCGCGTAAGTGCGCCAGCAGATGATAATGCAACGCGCACCTCAGTCATCATCGGTTGCGTGTATACAGGCGCTACCTGTTAAAAAATGCCGCGCGCTTCAAATCCTCTCTCTTTCTTTTTTTTTTTTTTAACTGCTATGGACGGATATAACCGCGTCGATCTTTTTATCACCGATCGGGCCGCACCTCACTCGTTTGTTCATAATCGAATCATTTGAATCTGCGGGATTACACTCAGCGAACGTTGGTCAACCCAACGCCTGTTTTGATGCACTCCGGCTGCACTCGAAACGGAATTTCGAAAACAATGCGGCCCGCCGCTACGCGCCAGAGGGAATGTCGTGTATACCGTCGCTGACAAATCAATAACATGGGTAGTGATTTTTCAAATTCTTGCGCGATTGTAAATGGGCAGTGATTTTTCAATTCCGCACGATTGCAAATCGGGCAGTGATCTTCAATTTCACTTTCAATCCTTGTCTTTTCCTTTCTCACCGAAAGAAAGAATTCTTTTCTGTGGTTGGTTACTTTCAGAAAAAATTCGTCGCTCATCAAGTCAAGCTGTCTTCTCTCTCTCTCGATGAGTCTTCATTTCGATTCCCACTCACGTTGAATCCTCTCTCCTGCGTTTCGTTTCGATACTCTCGCGAGGGAAATCTTGCGTGTCGTTCCAAATTGCTTCGCCATTTCGAGGAACATCATGGCGAAATGTTCGAGTACGGGTATTTTAAACGAAGCCACCGAGGGCATCGTGAAAGTCTTGCAGATAAGCGAGAAGTTGAGGCATGGTTGGCCGGTCTCTGGAAAGGCCTAACCAACAGACGGCCATCACGGCGAAGAATTCGTCCGGACATGGTCTTGGTTGGGCCAGTCGATAACCATCTCGGAGACAAGCCATCATTTCAAATGGGTCCACCTCGATGTATGGTTGCTGACCCATCGTCGCCAGCTCCCAGAGAAACACTCCGAATGACCACTAAAAGAAAATTTAAAAGAAAAAAGAAAAAGCAATAATTACTTGTTATGTTTGATAAAAGTGTATTTGCATCGATATGGTACATGAAATTATTATCGTTGGCGAGTGTTATCAGTTGTGGAAAATTTTCAAGGTCTTCAGAAAGAGGTCTTATTATAACAAACTTTACCAGCATATTCTATAGGTGAAAGTAAAATTGAAAGATGAGACAAAAGTAATGTTTCATTAAAAAATATTTTTTGTAATGTGAAATAATATAAAATTGCAGAGGTTTTTTTTTTTTTTTTGCTTTCTTCTTGCTCTGTAAGAAGCATTCCTTCATTTTTATGGTTCTATAATTTATATAAAATGTCTTTTGAACAAAATTTGTAATTTAAATGAAATTATGTTTTTCTTTTGTGTGTGCATTCACCGTGTTAAACCTTGCTAAATTTTTAATTTATTAATTTGACAATTTATTTAACGACATATTGAATATTTAATAATTTTGTTCATAATACGTTTGTCTGAAATTTTTTTATACGTCAAATTCTTTCAATGCGAAATTGTCATTGATAATATGATATATTTTGTTCTGAAATAATTACTTTCATATTTTATGTGACATGTGATAATATTGCAATTTGCATTATGTATGTATCTCTTTGAAAGTACAAGCAAATTCAAATATATAATTATATATTTATAAAGTCGTTTAACGAACTTTCTTTCTGTGTTTTAAAGAATCTTTTTTCGTTAAAGAATTGATGCATTACATATATAATATTTCTTATACCTTTTGTCAAATATAATTTAATTTGTTAAATATTAAATAATACTAATGATAATATGAAATAATTTTATTAATTATAATTTAATTTGTTGCAAAGATATGAATTTTGCCAAATTTTGTTTTTAAATTGATAGCTTATATATAGTTAGCCATTACATACAGCAGAATTGTTATTACGTATTGATAACAATTACTACTGTATTAATAATATGTACACATAGAATACATTTTATACAATTTCATATTTTTGCGAATACAATTAAAAAAATGGTCCCTGAGTAGAAATTTGTTTCTATTTTATATATTTTTACACATAGTGTGCGTTCGCCGCATTTTTGCATTCTTAAATCCGCAGACAAATAATCATAATAGTCGTTCTTCACTACAGTGATAATGAAATTTTAAAATATTTTATATAGAACACGTAATATAAAAATTTTTCTGCATTAAATATTCAAACACTTTCGTGAGTATGTGGTATATGAAATTATCGAGGTACAAATAATTTACATAATTGGAGTCTACAATTGGAATCTATTAATTCTCCCCATTACCTATGAATCACTTATGAATGTGATTCTAATAGAAGTTTATGTTCACATAAATGAATTAAACTGCCAGAAGTTCGTTTAATAGAGTAATAACTAAAATTTAGTATATAAATGAAATGGATGGTAAACGAAGTACTGCTGTAATAGGTTACTAATGATTCAGTTGAGACTAGAAATTAATTTTTATTTAAAAATTTTTATCAATTGCAATATGTCAATATTTTAAAATTATAAAAAGCATATTTTATATGTATTTTATATAAGTAAATATTTTAAATTGACTTTTATAAAAAGTAAGTAATTTTCAATTAAGAATGTAGATTGCAGTAATGATAAATAATAAAACATACTACCACAACATAATTTAAATCTAAAGATTTAAATTATCTCTGATTTTCTCGACTTGCTTTCAATTATTACCACCAATTTATACATTAAATTAATGCACAAGTCACATTCAAATATTCGTATTATTATTTATAATGCATGTATTATGCAGATAATCGATAACTATTCCATCACTGACATATTATTCTCATTCGTTTCAAAGTTTTATTAGAGAATCGAATTGCCCATTATTTTCAAGGAGTGACAAAAGCTTGGAAAGTTTATTGACATTCAATACGAATTATGATCATTACCACGTCCGTCGCAGTGCTGTACTGATTGTGCTGGAGGGTCTCCAAGGCCATCCAACGAATAGGTCTGTTCTCGTTATCACCGAGACAATGGTAATCCTGGGGGAAGAGATCTCGCGCCAAAGCCGTATCAGCTAATCGCACGCGAAGACTGCTTGGCTCGATCAAACAGTTTCTGGCAGCGATATCCCTGAAATCGATGTGGCTGGTTAAACAGGATGTTCCAAACCATTCTTTCAATTAAATTTTATCCTGTGACATAAACTAGCAACTTTACTAAGAGCTGATATATCGTATATAATGTTTGCCTTATTTCACATACTTTGAACATTTTTCGAACATTTGAATAGTTCGACCTCTCTTATTTTTTTATTGATTCTATTCGAGATACAGTATATAAGTCTCTAATTTTTCAGTACATTTAAGTAAAACAAAATAATAAAATTATTACTTCTCAATAATTTCTATTTGGCGATGTCACACCGACGAGTTCAAGAAGAACGCGACGAATTGTTGTATACGGTTTGGTCACTCGTCATGGTCCGCAGTTGCCAACGCAAGTGATTAAGGTAAATGATTTTAATCTTCAGAGATGTTACGATTACAAAGGAATTGAATTCAATTAATTCAACAAATATAATATAAAATCGTCATTTACAAAACGAAACATTATCAAAAATTATACATAAATATGTATAAAATATGTATAAAAAAATAATAATTAATGTGTATTAATTAATATATTTACCAGATTATTTACAAAACTTTACAATTTCTTAAAACAACGTATGTCGTCGGTATTATTGTTATATAATACTAAATTACATGCAATTTATTATTTACATTATTTTCGTATTCGACTGCCGTGTGAAAAGACCACATTGTAATTTCACTTGAGAAATTTACACGCTGTTTGCATAATTTACACCTACTTGCAGTGGTATTTGTGTATCTTAGTCACTCTCTGTGACAGCAATTCAGTTAACGTTCTAATCGATTCCAGCGAACAGAGAAATGGATGCAATCACCTGTGCAGTAGCCCTCGGCCGTGCAAGAATGCCCCAGCTCTGGCAACCTGTGCGCCAACGTGCACCAAGTCCCTGGTTCCAGGATGATGATTCCCGTCGGTAAGGTACAGCTTCAAATTCAATTCGCCCGGCGTACTCATGTATGCCAATAATGGGCAAGAATTATCGAGGCAAGCAGCGGCGAGCGAAGCTATGTTTGCATGCACTAATCCAGCTAGCTGCGAGCCCTCGACCACCAGCAAAGATGCTTGATAAGCTGATGCCACTTCTGCAACGATTAAATGATTTATTTCTTTGACAATCTATTAATTACATTTCCTTTCTTCCCTTCCATAACATTGCCAATGCGTTTAACAAATAAAGTTGCAAAATTCAAAGACATTTAAAAATTTGGTTGTTTTGAATTAGTAGGAAACATTCGTTTCGCAATAGGTTTTGTTTAAATATTTTTCTTTTTTTGTTTCATTATTGATTAATGGTTTTATTTTGTTTTCAATCAGCAGTAGATACGTAATTTCCTACCTTATCGCGTGTTGCTAGAGTAGGAAAGCACAATTTTTGTAAAAATTTGAATTTAATTGAAAGTGGAATTGTTGAATAATATTTTCAATAATGTTATTGATATTGTGAATATACGTGTGTATGTGTGTATATATATATATATTTATTTATTTCTACGAAATATTATAATAAATATTTTACTCTGAATATTTTACATATTTTGCACAGTATACTTATTTTATAGATTTTTGAAATCTTAAAATTTTTAAAAAATGCACAAATATTCGCAATCATTTGCAGTCATTATTGTCCCTAAAGTCTGATGAACATGACATTAACAGAATCAATACTAGTGGTGGAACTAAATTCAATATATAACTTATAAATCCAATTCAAATCCAATAACCAAAATTCATTCTATAATACTTGCAAAGTATTTGATGTTTACCAAGTACCTATTTGCAAGTTTCAAAAATGTACTTTCAAGTACCTCAGTATTAGAATGAATTGTACTTTTCGGAAGCAGTAATCGTAAACCATGAAAGTCAGAAAAGCACTACGAAGCTTACAGATTTTAGTTTAACGTTTGTACTTATTCCAGTTATTTCAATAATAATAAGAAAATTTTATTAATAATCAAGAAAAATGATTCAAATGGAATAGACAACTTCTGATAAAGTATTCACAAATATTGGCCAGTATTTCTACATACTTTTTTCACTTCCCAGAATAATTATAGAGGAATCTGTCGCACTTAGGAATCTTCCAATATACTTGAAAAAACATTGTTCTTTGTTCTTTTCTCCACAAATATTTATAGAAAGTTCAAATCTAGCCAATCAACGTTTGAACATACTTTATCCTGTCACTGGTCCTAGTGTATACATACCTGTGACTGTCTTTATGATAACTTCTTGCTCGCGACCAGCCAATTCCAGCGTGCCTTTGTAAACGCGGCCAAAGGTGCCCTCCTGCACAAGATTGCGACAGTAGAGCGCAGACCTCGATACCGCCAGCGCCCTGGCCTTCTCGCAAGGATCGGTCGACTGTAAATTAACAGAGACAAGGCACCGAGATATTAAGCCTGATGCGCACAAACGCCAAAGAGATTCCTAAACAATTTTCAGCAAACCGTTGCCGGGGCGTTTCTCGATCGTGTCACGCGCGGCCTGCATAATTCATCACAGAACAAAATCCCTTCGCGTGGGTGGGAACTCATTAAAAAAGCATTTGTCGCCTGTAACAGGGTGGACGAAAGAGGTCGCGAAGTCCCCGAAGGACAAGAAGAATGGCAAGAGGTGAAAAAAGAGAGGAGGACCAAGCTTCGAAGCTAGCTCCCTACTAGTCTACCGCTCCCTTCTCTACCTGTGTCATCGTTATATCGTCGTTTCCATCGTAGCCGCATTCCCCTTTGTTCCTCGACGGTTTTCCACTGGTTGCGAAGCGGAGGAAAGCTCCAGCAGGGGGGAGCAAACAGGGACTGGAGGAGGGAGGCCGGTTATTCATTAATTTCAATTTTCCGGAGTTTTGCCTCCGGCCCCTCCCATTCCATTTGCACGCGTCTACGCGTGCATCGGCGCTTTGTACATCCCTGCTCAAAAGTCTTAGGACAAGTGCCGTACAATGAAAAGCATAACCGAACCGATAATTGTTACGAAAGTGGTCCAAGTTGAGAAATTTAAAAAAACCGATTTTATCACTTTTTCTTTCTTTTTTTTTTTTTTGTGCCTCGTTGAATTAAATCGCAATAGAGTATAACTTTTGTTTTATCTTAAGTATCTTATCGTCACTGTGCTTAAGGGCAATCTATCTGTAAGTTTTATTTAGCACTGATTATATAATAGTTTATGGTATATGGGTTGAAGTGAATTTTGAACGTGTAACTTTTATAATTTAAATTTAATTTTCGTAAAAATGAAGTTGACAGTTGAGTTAACAGTTAACAGAGACTAATTTGTGTCTGTGTTAACAATTTACAAGTTTAGTAGGTTAAAATATGTCGAAATATTGCGTCCTTCATTTCTGATAACATGAAAAATGTTTCAAACAGTGTTTGAACAGTTTCAGAAGCAGAGTATCGTTTATAAAAAAACTACATAAAGATTTTTTGCCATTAATTTATCTTAAACGACTTGAAACAGAAATTGAAAATGCTATTTTAACCCCTATCTTTTCAAACTTAATTTATTTATTGGTACAATGCTAAAAAAATTAAGAATTAGAATGAAAAAAATAAGTAATTAAATTTTTATATTTAATAGACTAAATTTCTATGTTTAATTACATATAAGATTCACACAAATGTTTCTTTTACGTATGATTCAATTTCATATCACGATTCAGTTTATATTTAATTACATTATGTTATTATTTTATACTGCATATTATATTATTTCATGCTTAATGTTATAATCATTTGTTTTGGACTTGTTACAACATTATGTTCCAAAATTATAAATGCCTGAACATATATTCGAGAAGCTGATGCATATAATTGAAGGGCTGAGAATCACAGTAATGTATAACTCTTATAATGTTTCTCGCATTATGTTTTTTGTTTCCTATTATTGCTTTCTCAGTTAAGTGTTAAAATAAAGTTTTAACAATAGTTAACCATGAAACTAAACGCGCGGAATTTTCAAACACCTGAAGAACGTTATCAACTCAAATTATAAAAATTTGAGCTTGTGTTACTATGATTCTCAGCCCTTCAACTGCATTATTATATAATAACAATTAAATATTATTTGCAACTCTAGCGACATAGTTTATCATCAAAAAAGTTGAAAATATATGTTATATTTATATTATATATATATATATTATATATCATATATTATATATATATATATTATATATATTATATTAGAAAGTATTGAAAACATGTATATGTCAGGAATACCTGTATAATATAACACTTTATCAAATTAATACAATTTATATGATAGTACTTTATAAGAAAATATATAACATATGATGTACTTTTATAAGAAAAGTATATCAAATTAACACAATTTATATGATTATACTTTATAAGAAAATATATAACATATGATGTACTTTTATAAGAAAAGTATATCAAATTAATACAATTTATATAATAATACTTTACAAGAAAATATATGACATATGATGTACCTTTATAAGAAAAGTATATCAAATTAACACAATTTATATGATAATACTTTAGAAGAAAATATATGACATATGATGTACTTTTATAAGAAAAGTATATCAAATTAACACAATTTATATGATGATACTTTACAAGAAAATATATGACATATGATGTACTTTTATAAGAAAAGTATATCAAATTAACACAATTTATATGATGATATTTTACAAGAAAATATATAACATATGATGATATTTTACAAGAAAATATATAACATATGATGATATTTTACAAGAAAATATATAACATATGATGTACATATTTTACAAGAAAAGTATATCAAATTAACACAATTTATATGATAATACTTTACAAGAAAATACATAACATACGATGAACTTTTACAATACGTTTGTTTCCGACGATTTTCTCTCTTTTTTTTTTTTAACTAAAATCTCTTGTTTCTCAATCTTTCAACAGAGTCGCATATTTGAGTGGGAGTGTACATTTACGCAAGAGAAAAAGAGGGAAAAGACGATGGGAAACCAACCCCCGGCGAGCATTAGAGCGGTGTGCAAATTACTGGACGACACATCCGCATACGAGAAAAAGGATAACGCGATGACGAAATTGAAAAGGGAAAGTACCACGGGGAACCGGGTAAGGATATCGCGGCCGAGATCATTCGTCGAAACTTCGACGTGGACGCGACCGTGGCTAATACCCACGGCTTACCCCGTGCTCTGTAATTATTACCCGGCGACGACGACGACGACGAGCGTCGACGTCGGTTAGCTGTTTGGCGAAAAAAACCCCCGGCTTCGAGTTAGCTTCGTTCTTCCTCTTTGTCAAGCTGGTTTTTTCATTACCGCGTTTCGTTCCGCTCGTCGATTTCATTCTATCGCGCCGTTTCTCTTTTCTCCTTTTCCAATTCTCTTTGCCTTCGTTTTCTCGTCGCGCGAGAATCACGCCTACCTTTTGCTCCCCTTGTTTTTCTCGTTTGTTAATGAAAATGCGATGAGACAATTTAAAATCGGCCCGCTGATAGTGGAACAGGGTATATTTCTGTAATCTTGATATAGCTGGCTGAGGGATTATAAGGGAGATAAGAGACAGGAAGAAACAGGAAGTCAAAAAGGAAAGAATTACGTTTCTTTCATTTAGGATTTCGTTTCTTTTCTCGTATATATATTAAAATAAGAAAATAATCTCCTACGGGCATATTTCAGTTTTCGAGTTACAGATGGTTGAAGAAACTGTCCATCTTGTGATTTAATACGTACTGTATATTTGAACCTTACTAATACGTACACGTTGAATATTTAAACCTTATTTACTGTTTGTAAAAAATATCCATTGATATGAGTTAATCTTCATTCGTCATAATAATAATAAAAAAACTAATACGTACACATTGTATATTTAAACCTTATTTACTGTTTGCAAAAAATATCCATTGATATGAGTTAATCTTCGTTCGTCATAATAATAAAAAAAAAAAAACTAGTATAATGAAAAGAATCTCCGTTCAATCGTGTATGAAATTCACACAAATTTTATTCTCTCGTTTCTTATCTGTTTTTTAGTTTCCGTTTATAACCATTTATTTTAGATTTTCACTATAATCAAAACCAAAGATGTGGCATTTTCGAAATGGTGGTATATTGAATGCATAATTGTGTTGCAATAATTGTACTGCACCTCGAGTATTCCGGAATCGAATATTATTTATTTTGTTATCGAAAACATATGTTATATATATTATATATTATTTGCTATATTATATATATAAAATATACTATATATATTATAAATTATTTATTTATATAAATTAATAAATATTTATAAATATTATTTTAACATATTAGTGTTTTAAATTTAGAATTTAAATAAATTATATAAAATATAATAAATAATAATTTTAATTATTAATTATATTTTATTAATATTTTTAGTTATATTAAGAGTTGCATTTGAACGAAAAATTTTAAGTTATATACAAAATCGAAAAGGTCCTAATAAATTATTATTTAAAGGATTATTTCAATCTTTTAGTAATATATTAAAATTAATTTTTAAAGAAATATTTTATTTAAGATTAAATAAAATATTTTATTATAGACCAATATTTATATTTTTTCAACATTATGATTAATTTATCCATGAATTTATATAAATTTAAATATAAAATTTGGAAAATAAATATTATGGATTAAATTCATTTTTGTATCTGTATATAATGTTAATAATATTTTACAAGAGAAATGTATCAAATTTACATAAGAGACGAAGTGAGAGTTAAACAAAATCTAATCCATTAAACTTTTATTTTTCATGCGATTTAAAGCCAGTGTGTACACTATGCTCAGTGTACAATTTGCGAGAAAAGATTCAAAATGAATTTCAGACAAGGTTGGCAGTAGCACAAAACTTTCTTCAATTATTAAAAATTAAAATATGGCACGTTACTTATTAAATATTTACTAAAATTTTAAAAAATAAACTTTTTTACTTATCGTAGTGTATAGATTCATCATAATATTCAAAATATAAACATTTAAGAATTAATCTGTACTTGATTTTCTTAAAAACAGAATATCAAATGAAAAAATTATATTTCTTCTCTTATTTTATTATGTAGAATCATTTTCTGGTCGATTGTACCATGATTATAGATTACACGCTGCAAGGTGTTTCTAGTCGTCAGTATGTTCTATACTTCAAAATATCAGATAAGAAAAATATCATATAAACACACGTCATTCGAAACATTGTTAAAAAATGATAACAAAAAGAAGAAATGAGCGGTAACGAACGTGTTTTGAACAATATATGAATAAGTCAGAAATACACACGTCTGATAACTGATAATGATAATTTAATGATAAACATAAATATCATAATACTTTAACAACTTCAATATTCATC